GCTAGATCCAGACCTAGGCATGCAGTTTAGGAACTGGAAAAAGAAATTGCAAGACTCTAGGGTTGGGCTGTAACTTCTTCCAGTCATTTATTTGATGACCTTGGTCCTCCTGTCACCTGCTTTGCTCTTTGTTTAACTGTAAGCAATCTGCCATGTGTAGGATATTGAAGTTTGCCAAGCTTCTTTCTATTGCAAACCCTTGCTTTCCTGCGCTCCCAACTTTTTGCTACATCCCAAGGGAAGGGGAATCCTGCTGCATGTTGTGCCCTCCTGCTGAATGTTGGGCCCTCCTGAGCTGATGAATTTCACATTTTTCAGAAGCACTTTATTTATTTTAAATAATGCTGCAGCAAAAGTTGGTGGCTGGAAAACATTCTAATAAAGTATGAATGTTTTCAAGTAATTCTGTAACAATCATACAAAACAAGAGGACCCCCTAACCCATACAGACTGTCCCCCCTCAAGAAAGGGAGGGCTGGGCAAGCCCTTAAGGAGCAGGGCCAGATCAGCCACACCTGAGTGCATCCACAGAGAGGATATGAGAGGCTTGCTGGGGAGGGAGCTCAGCTGTGCTGCTGGTGTTGTCTGAAAGCTTTTCTACATACAAGTACTCTTACTTGCTGGTTTTGGGGTTTTTTTGGTGGGACTGTGAAGTTTTTAATCTGAAATTTGTGGAAAAGAGTGTTGCTTGTATGTGGTTTTCTTTTGATAAGAAGTCTAGAATGTTTTCAGGAGGAGATTTTTAACTTGTGTGGTTTCTAGACTTGGTAAATTGGTTTTGTTGTCTGTTCCCTCAAGGGGCACCAAAGAGGTATTTATTTGAGAGAACAGTCTTGAAGGATGCTGATAAATGAACCAACAGTATGTCTTATACCTCCTTTCCCCCTTCTGGGTCTGAATGTGCTGGGGTAATGCCTGGAGCTGCAGGGGCCTTGTGAGGGCTGGGCGGTCCAGCACAGCATGCGGGTTGTGCCGTGTTGCTGCCTCTTGTCTGAAGAACAATAGTAAAGGAAAGGTTGATGGCTTTTTTTCTTTTGCTTTCATCAAGGCACGACAATTTCTTGAGCTGTTCATAGAGGCACCAGTCTGAATAGGCACATTGCTGACAGGATAAACTGAATGAATAGGCTGTTGACCACATGCCAAAAGTTTTCATTAAGTCCTCAAATGAGTGGAGCCATTAAAAAAAACCTTTAGAAAAATCTCTTTATTTTGTATGTGGAGATCACCTGTTGGGTGGTAGGGGAATAAAAATCTCCAAGCTTGTAACTAACAAGCAAAAAAGCAAAGGATTTTTTAAAGTGCTTAGACTTGTAAATAGTGATGCGAGACTGACAGGCTCGTTAAAAAGGGCTCGTCTAAACCAGCACTGTAATTAAAAAATGTGATGTTCCTCTCTATTCAAACGTGAAGTACAAATACAGTAGACAATTCAGATTCTCTCGTTCATGGAAACATTACTTTTATTTACTTTTTTCTTTGCAAAAGTCATTTGCCTGGAGGCCTTAAAATCAGTTAGTCGAAAGTTGCTTTCCGTAACACCTTCCTCTAAAATCTTCTGTGTTTCTGTGGAAGGTCTGCAATTTCTGTCCCCTCCACCACAGAGAGGGTGCCCAAAGGCCCACAAGCAGGAGACTGCAGGCTTCAAAGACATGGCCTGCAGTGGCCAAACTTACTGCAGACTCTACCACATGGCCAATGAGGTGGTTCCCCCAGCCTGAACTGGGCTCCATCACCGGTCGGGAGACCAGCTGGCCAGCCCCAGGGCAAATAAAACATCCTTAATGAACCAACACTTGGGCATTTCCAAAGGCTGACCCAGCTGACTCCTGTTGTGTTTAGAAAAATCTAGGTCAGAATGAAAGAAAGGCAAAGCAAGACAATGTATGTGGTGAGTTTGAGAGGGTTTTTCATTGCTCCCTTGCAAAAATGAGCTGCAGCTCTTAAGGCTTCAGAAATAGTTGTTGGAAACAGATGGGAGACGTCTCATGGCCTCTCTTCAGGCCCAGCAAAGTCTCTGACCTGATGCTGCATTTGCTGACCCGGCTTCTCACCAACACAGCGTGATTTGAGCAGTGGTTTGCCAGAAGCGCTGATCTGGAGGTGACTCGACTGTAAGGAGGATACTATGCTTATTTCCAAATATTATGATTTAAAGGTGAAAATGGATCTGGGTAGTTTCTTTGTGGTTTCCCCTGCAACAAATTTACCACAGAATCGTAGCCTAAAAGCACTGTTGTAAGCGATGTGATCATTTGCAGCTCATATGAAGTGATATCTTTCGATCACCAATGCAGGTCAAATAAATAATGTCTTATTTTGGTATATGCCCAGAAAAAACAGGCACTGTTGTTTTAGAGTTTCTCAGCATCTACTTTACATTATTAGCACAAACTTTCCCGATTTTGCACATAGACTTTCTCAGCAAAGGGATATTTTTTCTTATGGTTTCAATTTGAAATGAATGGTTAAACCGCATTTATTTCTCTTCAGTACTGTCAACAGCCTTGTCAGGAGAAATACCCACCCTGAAAACCTTTCTTGGCTTTCTTGGTGATTTACCTTCTCGCAATAAAAGCCCTTCTGTAAGTTTCATTTGGTTTTCCTTTTGGTGGGAAGTAACACTTTGAAATGTGGTTTGGTTTCTTTTTTTGCAGTGAAGTATTAACATTTGGAAGTGCTTTCTTTTGGCAGTCCGGGTGGTTTGGGTGTTGATGATGTGGGAGATGGTTTGATGCTCAGCCTAGCCTTCGAGCTGCTGTGAGAACGTATGGCACGCTTCTGTTGCCTCCCCCCTTGGCAAGGGTATTTTGGTTGCAGTGGGAAGAAATGCTCTACATGATGAAGAGTAGTCCCTTATTGTCGCTATTAGGGTAACCTGGAGGAATGCTTATGCCTCGTGTGACTGGATTTTGAGTTGGGGATTGCCCAGGCTTCAAAAATATTATAAGACAGGCATCGGTGCTTCTGGCAGCTCTGGGACAGAGGCTGAGAGTAAATACTTGTTAGAAAAAAACAAGTGAGCCGGCTGGCAGTGGGAGGGGAAGCCAGCCGAGTAGTTGTGACCTTATTTACAGCTTCACTGATGGAAGGTGAACAGTGGGAAACCGGAACAGACAAACATGACTATTCAGAAAAAAGTCTCTTGCCACCTCTCCCAAGTCTCTCACTGGCCTTGGCATTGCTGTTACACCTCTTTCTCTGTACAGGAATGCTAACATGAAAATGTTGAATCATAGTTACTCCTTTTATCCCTTCACATTTTTAAGTTAATGTCTATTAAGCATTCAATTAGAATTCACACTGAAACACACAGTATTATACATGTATCTGTTACATTGCCCTGGGAAAGTTTTTTTTTGTTTTTCCTTTTTTTGTGTAGAGACAAGTCCCATCAATACCTCACCCTGTCAGAAATACCAGACTTCTGGGGGACTTCTTTGGAAAGCATACAACCAGCTGATCCTCTGTGTTCCAAGTACAAATACTGCTACTGGTGTAAACATGATGCCTGTATGTTCTGTATAGACATTTATTTCCAGGATAAGTTAAAAACAACAACTTCACTGTTTTAAAATCTTTATTCCAGGGTCACAGACTAAGATAAATAGGTTAAACAGTAAAACATAGCTCAGGCCCTCGACATTTCTGTTGGATTCCTAGCTGCTAAACATGAGTTTATACTTCTCTACAAAACGTTTATATAATCAGTTCACCATCAAAAAAAAAAAAAAAGAAAAAAACATAAACCACCATTTCAAACCCTTGGCTTCTCTACCCTTTTAGTACCCACTGAAAAGCAAAATCTTTATGTACCTGTGCTTGAATAAGACCTCTCCATCAGAAGCGTTGCAGTCTGTAGGTACTGCAAAAGGCCTAAGTTTCCTCGCTACTGCGTTGTGGAGCTCTTCGTTAGAGGAAGAACAACCTCTTCTTGTCCTTTCTTCCAGAATGGCAGCACCACAGGTGCTGTGGGAAAACTCCTCCCCACACCATAGTTAGTATTTTACATAGTTCTTAGTTTTTAAAGTATTAAAAGAAGATGGGCTAAATTCTTGTTCAAATATGCAAAAGTCCAAGATAATATGATAAAAGGCTCGCTACATAAATAGCAAGTAGTCTGAGGGGTGTTGATGGTCTCTCTGGACATCCGCATGTGGGAAGCAGCGGTGTATGTTTACTCCAGCTAATTTCATTCACAAATGTAAAATTTTCAGCTAGGTTTTGGAATGCTAATTGATTTTTTTTTCTTGAATAATAAATTACTTTTCAATAAAGTTGCCTTCAAAGCTACAGGATTAGTGCTTTACATTATACTAACTCAAAGATCAAAATCTTAATTCAAAAGATGAGGTCATGCTGCATGAAATTTATGGCACAGGTATTAAACCAAGTTGCAGTGCTTCATGGTATCCAAGCTCATCACTGCACCTCAACCTGAACTGAGACTTCTGTCTTTTTCATGTGCCGGCAGCAATAGTGGTCTGTTCTTTGTGGGAAAAAAAATAAGCTGACAAAACAAAGTACGAAGACCAGGCTCTAACAACAACAAAAAAGCCAGTAGAACTTTTAATATAGGTAAATTTAAGTCTTATCACAAAACTGGTGCCTTGTGGCTGTAAGTAACTCTCTCTGTTGTAGAAGAAAATCCCTCCACATGAAAAGGTAATTTATCAACCTCTACTACCAGCTGTCAGGGACTTCTCAATGACAATCAAGGTATACAGTCTATGTCAAAAACTGCAAAGGAGCAACTTTTGGCTTCTTGCATAGTAAATGGGATTAAGCTTTGGCAGGGCCAAGACTGAAGGGCTGAATTTCTACTGAACTGTCCACAGGGCCCTGTGAATGATAATTGTCTTGTTTAGTAAGAGGAGAGTTACTTGGGTACAAGGGCACTGCATCATGTAG